AGGCCGCAGAACGGCCCCACAGGCTGCGGGCGGCCGGCTCTCCTGGCAGATCCCGACTCAGCCTCACTCAGCGCCAGGCTGAGCGGACACTCAGCCCTCAGAGGCTGTGGCCTCATCTGGAAAATGGGGGAATCTTTCCAACCGTCTGCAGCTGCTGTGAGCACTGGGAGGAATGGATATAACGCCTGGCGTCCCCCAGGCACTCAGGAAAGAGTGCCCATTCTGGCCATCATCCTTGAGGTGGAGAGTATTGCCTAGCACTGCGCTTAAGGGCCCGGCCCATGGGGCTCCCCCACAGCACCACCGCCCTGCCTGGCAAACCCTGCTCAGACCTAGCGCCGTGCCTCTGTCACTGCCCCGCGAACAGCCGACTGCCTTCCCTCCCTCCCTCTCACAGCTCCCGGCACAGATGTGGGGCTGGCAGGACATCACCACGCGTCCTCTCCAAACACCCCTCCCCTGGGATCCAGGCGAGCGGCCATGGTCACCCAGCTGGGTAACACCCAAGTCATGCCCACGGCCACCTCGGCCCCGTCCTGGAGGGCAGACCCACCTCCAGTGAGGGCTCGGCCAGGTCCCCACCTCAGGTTGAGGGTTAAAGGACATGAGGGTTACAGCACTCCTGGCACATACCTGGGCTGTGCTCAGACCTCCACAGTGGACCCACCGCAAGGGGGAGCAGTGGTGTTCCTGGGAGGGCTGAGGGCTGGAATACCAACCGAGGCAGAGGCAGCGAGGGAGGGGCCCCGGGCCAAGCCTGTGACATATGCCCCACGAGATATGCCCTGTGAGATATGCCCCCGTGCAGTCAGGGTGAGAGGAAGATACAGGGGGGGAATTAAAGGAATAACATCCTTTGTGAATAAATTTTTTAAACATATTTTAATGGGCTCGTGTTATTTTCCCCTCCCCACCAGGCACTGCAGATAAAAAAAACAAACTGGCAAAATAAAGTGCACAAATTATTCAAGCCCCAGGGGAACCCAGGCACTCAAATAAGATTTGAAATGACTCTCGTTCCATTAAAACTTTTTGCTGCAGTGACACTGCGCAGACAGGGCGGCTGAGCGGCTTCGCAGGCAGCGAGGACTGCGAGGCTGTCAGTCAGCTCCTCCCCACCAACGCCAAGCCCCACCCCGCAAAGCATCTGGGTTCCAACAGATTCACCTGCTCTGGAGCAGGTGCAGGAACGGGCGGGCGGAGGCATCTGCCCAAGACGAAACTGCAGCACCAGCGGGGGTGTGGCCTGAGCGGGCAGGGGCGGGGCCAGCTTAGCCTTTCCTTGGGCCAGCATTCCCACAGTCCTCCGCCAGGGCCAGGAACAGCCTCTGCTTACAATCCTTCCTCCGCCCTCCTGGTCACGAAGACACATCCAACAGAGGCCTGTGCACCATCAGCACCAGGATCTAGAAGGGACTGGTGAGCAGATGCCTCTGATCCTGGCTCCTCCTCCAAAGCCACAGCCTCCTCCCATGCCCTCCCGACCTCCACGTGCCCTCTGCACAAGGCCAGAATGATTCGCGTAAATAGAACCCGGGCCATGCCACTGTCCGGCCCAAGGTGCTACAACAAATACTCCCTGTCAAGTTCCATACACCTTGCCCTGGCTTTCTGGAAAACCTGCCCCCGCCTCCACCTGCCCAATCCCCCAGCTCTGGCTACCCCAGGACCTTTGCACTTGCTGTTCTCAAGCCTGGACCATTTTTCCTGAAGCTCTGCATGGCTTCAGATGTCACCTCCTCAGATGCCCTCCGTGACAGCACTCCCAACCCCCAGGCTTGGTGCCAGTCAGGTCACCCAGCTCTGTACCCTCACAGCACACCCCCTCCCTGATGGTTTGCTCCCCGTGTAAAGTCTGCCTGCCCCTCATCAATCATGAGTTCCTTGAGGGTAGGGATCTTTCTGTTTCTATCACTGCTCTTTTCCCCCTCTGCCTAAAATTACTGTAGAGACTCCATAGATCGTTGTTTCATTGACGAAAGCCATTGACGAAAGTCCTGACCCCTTTCCGGAAATGTTGCAGAACCTATTGGGAAATATATACTTATCTAGAAAAGATCACAGCAGAAACCAAAAAAGCAATCACCGCTATTGGCTGGAACCAGCAAATGAGAATTCCGGTACATCACGAGGAATAATAGCTCTGATCGGCAAGGACCCGGGCCTTTTGTCAATTTACAAAAAACACAAATAAAGTAATTATAACTTAATGAGTGTGGTTTGGCAGACAGAAACTCGCCAAGTGGAGGAAGCGGGATGGACAGGAGCGGCTGGCTGCCCAGGGCCCGCCCCTCCTGCTGTATGAGCTCAGGCAAGTCACAGCACCGCTCGGGGCCTCCGAGCCCTCGCCTGTGAAAGGGGCTCAAACAGGCCTGCCGCTTAGGGTGACTGCGGATGTGAAACGAAGGCGGTGAGCAAAATGCTTAGGAAAACGCTCGCTCACAGGAAGCGCTCTGTGAACGCAGGTGTCCACCGTTATCTGTATTTTATCGGGGTGCACAGGAGAAACGAATCATAAAGAGGCCCATGGTAGAAAGCCCGTTCAGTCTAACCTGCATCACTTTTGGATAACAGCTTTGTTAAGATATAATTCGGCTACCATGAAACCCACCCTTTGAAAGTGTACACTTCACTGGTTTCTAGTATATTAAGAGCTGGGCAACCATCACCCAAAATTGAGAGTATTTTTATCACTCCCACCAAAACAAAACACAAAACAAAACAAAATTTTGTCTGTACCCTTAGGGGAGGGTACAGACGGGCTGCGACCTGACCGCTGAGACCCAGGCGAACATGATGAGCTCTGGGGTTGGACTGTAGGTTCGGGAACAGGTGGTGAGAGGCACCTGTGGTCTTGGTGCAGGTGCAGCGGAGCTCCCCGGAGCCTGGGTTCCTGCCTCTGGCTCCAGGCGACACTGGGCTTTCCGAGGGCTCGCGGAGGCCACAGGGGTGGGCTTGACCTCGGCATTTGGGGCCTGGAGGAGGGCTGGGCTGTGCAGGGTTACTCACGCGGGAATCTCACCACCTGCAGGGGAAGCTGGCAATGCCAAGAAGGCCGAGGGGGGGGAGGAGGAGGTGGACATCGACCTGACAGCGCCGGAGACAGAGAAGGCTGCCCTGGCCATTCAGGGCAAGTTCCGGCGATTCCAGAAGAGGAAAAAGGACCCCAGCTCCTGAGTGCCAGCCCCGCCCGCCCCACTCCACACTCCGCAGCTCTGGCTTCCATGCGCCTTGTCTCTGTCCCTCTATCCCGGGTGGGACCGTCTGGCCCTCGGGCCGTACGAGGTCCACAAAATCATTTATTTGGTCTGGCCCTGCCAAGGCATTAGGGGTGAGTTAATTGAATGTTTGATCAAATATAGCAGGCTAATTTTTAAGTTGATAAAAACAAAACAAAACAAAACAAAAAAAACCCTTAGCGGTCCCTCTCCAATCCCCCTCCTCCCAGGTCCCTGACAACCACTAATTTACCATCTGTCGATTCCCACTGTTTTATAGATGGGGAAACTGAGGCTTGGAGAGGAAGTGACTTGTCCAAGGTCACTGAGCAGGCTCAAGACTCAGAACCCTTGCTCCAGCTGCCCCACCTCCCCCCCAGCTCAGGAGCTTCCTTCCTCCATGAGCCTGGGCGCCCCCCACGCACACATACATACACTCCCAAACCTCCCCTCTCCCATCCCTGCCCCCTAAGGTGCTCTCTTTGGGGCCTTACTCACGGAGTCCAATCTTGGCCAGGTGCAACCTGTTGACCCAGGAGATCTTGCTCAGGGGGTTGGGGGTGATGAAGACCACCATGAAGCTGATGGGACGGCCAGACCTTCGGTGAGAAGGGCGAGGAGTGTGAGTGCTCAGAGCAAGGGCCTGGCTCCCCCGGGGCCAGCACCCAGCTCTTCCCTCACCCCATACCTGGGAGAAAGTTCTGCTCAGAGCAGCCAAGTGTGGCCAGGGAGGCCGGTGGCCTGCCCAGCAAAGCCTTGGTCCCCTAGGGGAGGGGTCCCTCCACCCACCATGGCCCCAGGAGGAAGGCCCCTCCCCCAGAGCGGCCAGGCCACACTGCAGCCCAGCCCAGGTGCCTCGGCCTGGGCGCCCAGCAAAGCCAGAGGTGCCTGGCCGACTGTCGGCTAAGAGGCGAGAGGCCCTGTCCAGGCTCCACCCGGTCAGCTTTCCACGGGCCTTATCAGACACCTGCTCCGGGAGCCTCAGCAGTGTTTCTCTCTGTGTTTCTGGTGCCGTATCCTCAGGGCAACAGCACTTGGCAAAGGGCAGTTGCCTGGTAACTGTTTGCCAAATGGATACATGAATGAATGGGGTTATGGCCAGGCCAGAGGCAGCCGGAAGTCAGTTGTCACCACACTGGCATCCCACCTTGGAGCATCAGGGGCCCCTCGGGGTTGGGCATGGCCACGGTGCATGCACACCCCTCCCATCACAGCAATACTAGCAAACGGACCAGTTCCAGGGGCCCCTTCCGAATACCCCACTTCACCGCCGGCCCCTCCGCCTCTCACTTGTCAGGTTTCCCGGGAAGCAGGAGCCGGAGGCGGCACTTGTTGGCCGATTGGATCTCCTCCTCCTTCACCCGCATCAGCCTCTGCAGGGCCAGGCACCAGTCTTGAGCCACGGTCATGTTCAGGTTCTAGGGCGGAGGAGGCCAATGAAGTCCCCACACAGCCCACTAGCTCCCCAAAAGCCACACCAGATCCTCAGCACCTGGGACGCCCCAGGGGAGAGAAGACAAGCAGGAGGCCGGCTCCCCTGGGCTCTGGGCTGCGGGCAGGCTGCCCGGCCCTTGGTTCAGACCCCACCTGACACCCCTGTTTTGAGAGGGACACACCCTCCTCGCGGCTTCCTTTCCAGCCTAGGGCAACGCCAGGAAGGGGCTACAAGACTGACTGTCCACCGTGCAGAAAACAACAACAAAAAATACCAGGCAGCCAGGCACCCCTCAACCTGAACCAGAGCTTCAACTTGAACCAGAGGCCACACACCAGACTGCTAGGTAGCGACAGGGGGCGTAGCCACTCCTGCTGGTGGGGGAACTCAGAGCCACAGCCTCGTCAGGGGACTGGGCCAGGAGGAGAGCCCCCACTCTGCCTGCTGAGTCTGGGGCTGCCCAGAGGAAGGAGCCGGAGCCCTGCAGGCCAGGCCAGCGCTGCGTACCTGGTAGGTGCCGTGCAGCGTGCTGATGAGGAGGGTGATCTGCTCCACCACGGCCAGGTCCTTCTGCAGGTCCTGCAGCTCCTGGAAGAGTCGCGGGGGACCGAAGTACACCTTACCTGGGCAGAGAGAGACCGAGTCAGCTCAGGAGTCGCAAGACGCCAGCGAGAACCCAAGTGTCCACTCACTGCGGAAAAGAAGAGCGGTCGCCCTGGAGATATGGCAGCAGAGAGACAAAGAAACATTACCAGGCTCTTGTCTACTGGGGAGCATAGGTCCAACACAGGCAAAGTCCAGCACCTGTGAGGCGGGGCCCACTCAATCTCTACAAAGGGTCACAGGCGAGCAGAAGACAGGACCAATTATGCCTGAAGAGACAAGGAGCCCTCATGGGGCCAGGAGAGTGGCGGGCACTGCCAAGAAGTAGAACATCATGTGCAAAGGCACTGTGGCTTGAGGAGGCCTGTGGACAGCAAGTTGTTCAAAAGCATGCTGAGGACCTACTATGTGCCAGGTTCTATTCCAGGTATTAGAGCAGTGGTTCTCAACCTTCTGGCCCTTTAAATACAGTCCCTCATGTTGTGACCCCCAACCATAAAATTATTTTCGTTGCTACTTCATAACTGTAATGTTGCTACTGTCATGAATTGTCATGTAAATATCTGATATGCAGGATGGTCTTGAGAGACCCCTGTGAAAGGGTCGTTCGACCGCCAAAGGGGTTGCGACCCACAGGTTGAGAACCGCTGTGTTAGAGGGACAGGTGTGAACAAGACAGGGTCCCCACTCTTATGGAGTGCATGACCTGGGGGACGGGGAAGATGGGGAAGCAGTCGGTTGCAACCACTGATGATGGGAGGTACTAAGGAGAATGGTATCAGAGCAATGAGACAGTGATGGGAGGGGGGGGTAGGAGGAAGGATGCCCAGATCTCTACTGATGATACAAATGGAGTGTGGGGGCTTGGGAGATGGACAGCAAGAGACGGAGCAAGAGGGACCCGCAGGGACAGGATGGGGAAGTCCTTCAATGCCCTGCTAGGGAACTTGGGCTGTATTCTCTAGGCCATGGTTTCTCAAGCTGAGATCCATGGGATCCCAGGAGGGGAGTTATTTGGGGCTGTCATTTAGATGATTATCTAAAATTCAGATGTACATCCTGAGTCGCCTGGAGACGATGACTTCAAAGCCAAGTTCCGCTGCACGGAGTCCGGGCTCCCATGGACCTTGGTACTGAGCAGGGCGAACTGAATGGTCACCATGGAGCAGGGAGAAGGTGGCCAGGGGAGGGAAGCGATGGCTCATACCAAACAAAGGGCGAGATGGGCTCTGCAGGGACCCCGACAGGAACGCGGGCGGGAATGCGGGTCACCGTAAGGTACCTTGTGTCGTGGGTGCCAAGAGCTCCGAAGAACCCGCCCCGTAGGAGGCCACATCCATATTGTGAGCAATTTGGTGCCAGCAAAACAACATCACCCATCCCATGACATTAATGCTGTTCATTTGAATTTTATGGTTTTGTAGCTTCATTTTTATCTCATTTGTGATTTTTGTTTTGGTTTTATGGTTGTTCAAGGGGTCTGAGCATAAGGCGTCAATTATACCTAGTCTTATATTTGCACACATTTGAATAACAACATAATAAAAAATCATTCACGGCCAACTGGGGTTCAACGAGAATTTCTTTTTCCCCTTAAAGGGGGTCTGGCAGCATATGACTGTCATCTCAGGAACGAAGCACAGACAGCACAGTGGTTGAAGGAAGTCCCAGAGTGAGGGCAGAGTGGGGGAGGGGAGGGGTAGTGGGATGGGGGGGAGGAGATCTGGGGCTGCAGGTGGCTCCGGAGCCCCTCCCAGGGGCTGCTGCACAGGCAGCCCTGCCCGCCTCCCAGACCAGGGGGAAGAAACGCAGCATCTGGACATGGGCGCAGCTGTCCGTCCAGCTCCCCCAAGGGCGAGAGTAAATGATGCAATCGCCCTGTTTCCAGAATCAGCAACAGCCCCATGAGGCAACCTCCAGGGTCAGGCGATGGACAGAGCCCAGAGCCTGAGGCAAGCCCGGTTGGTGGGGGAAGGGAGTGCAGCCAAGCGCTCTCCCAGTCCATGGAAGGTGCTTCCGGCTCAGTGCTCCTTTCTGCTGGCTCTGCGGTTCAGCACCCTTCATTCATCCAGCAAATGGCTGTTAACACCCCCTGGAACCAGCTCCGGGCAGCCAATGCACCGGCCTTGAGAGCATGGGGAGGGTGGGGGTCAGGGGGCGGAACCTGGTCCAGTCCCAAGGAATTTAAAGAGGCTTCCTGAGGAAGGGCTACCTGAGCTCAATGAGTAAAGGCAAGTAGACAGAAACAAGCCTGCGGATGGTCAGGACAGGGGAAGGAGGACCCAGCAGGGCCAGGAAGCCCTGACCTGGTCCCTGAGGGTGTAGGGGCAGGATTAGTGTCACCTGAGACCCTGGCTGTCCAGAGGGGCAAACTGAGGCACAGAGAGGCGGTGACACCTGCCCACATCACTCAGGGAGGCAGGCAATGCCCAGGCGGGACTGGAAGTCACGCTTCCTGACTCAAAGTCATTGCCTGTGCAGGCACGTGTGTGCACACGTGTGTGCGAGGGCATGTGGGGCTGGAGTGGCAGGGCCGGGAGCGCCTGTCCAGTGTGTGCAGGTGTGGCTGTGGGACGTGCGTGTACTCACAGAGGTTGGGGTGTGGGTGTGGGTTTGTGGGGCTGTAAACCAGCAAGAGCTCTGGGCCCAGTGGCCCAGTGGCCTGGGGGCCCCCGGATGGGCCCTGGAGCCTGAGCAGGGGCTCCCCGGGCAGCAGCGGGCAGTACTCACTCTGAGCCTGGCCCGAGGCAGAGGCCTTCTTGGCGCCGGCGTGCTGGATGAGCACATTGTCCTTGTCGTAGGAGCCGCCCTCCTGGCCCACCTCCACCACCTGCACCTGGGGCAGTGCCGTGTTCCACTTCACCACGTACTTGGGCCCCAGGGGCACCAGGCTGCTGATCTCCAGCTGGCCCCTGCAGGGACAGAGAGACGGAGGCCTGGAGAGGCAGCAGCACCCCAGCCCCGGGCCAGCCCAGATGCCCCTTCTCAGCACATCAGCTCAGCCAGGCACCTCACCGCCCAGCACAACACCTCAGGCCATAACCAAGCCGGGCAGGGTAGGGAGCCGTCGCTGAGGCAAAAGCACCAGGCGCCCAGTCCCCAGCCCCAGATCCAGAATCATGTGCCCCCAAAGCCCCTAAACCCCTACCTGTGGTTGGCAGGCCTGAGGAAAGAAACAAGGAGGGAAAGATGGTTACTGTTACCGAGTGATTTCTACAGGGAATGACTGCTGAGGGCTGGCCAGGTGTGGGCAAAGGGGACCCCATGGAGGGCCTGCTTCCGGGGCCAGGCACTGGCCTCTAGTCTCCTATTCCCACAACAGCCCTGTAGGAAGCCTTTATTATTCTGGACGAGGACACTGATGCTCAGACAGGTCACAGGACTCACCCCAAATCACCCAGACTGATCCCCCCCAAAGTGGGCCACTAGCATCCCCATCTCGTTTTCGCATCATGCCAGGTGGGCAGAGAGGGTGTTGGTCAGAATGGTACCTAGGACATCAACGGGACTTAAAAATTAGAGTGTGGGAGAGCGGGCATGAGGGAGGGAGTGAGCCCAGCCATAAGCTGACTGCCGCTCTGCTCTGGGACACAGGCCTCCTTGCCCGAGTTCCCTACCTGTGGACTGGCACAAAGTAAGGGCTCAATAAATATCTGGTGGGTTAATGGTGCCGAAGTCCCCAAACAACCCTGCTGGCTCCCCTTCTAGGCCTGGAATCTGCAACCATGGACAATCCCCAACTCTGCTCCATGACCCTGGCTATGGTCACGGGCAGGTGCACCGCCGACCCTGGGTGTGACATCAAGCCAGGCTCCGTGGGCATGCTGGCCCTATGGGGGTTCCAGGCAGGGGTGGGAGAGTCAGGCCGGGATTCCCCTACGGTGGCTGCTTTCCCTCGGGGGTCCTAGCTATTGTGGCCACACTGTGTGTCTGGGATGTTTTTAAAGTGCGTTAAACACTGGGAGCAGAGATTTTCCTCCACCAGCGGAGAGGAGCCCAGCTGGGGAGGTCCAGCTGCAGTTCCTTTGGTTGAGGGTCATCATCCCTACCGCCTACAAGGCCAAGCAAGGGATACAGGTGAGCGAACCAGCTGATGAGACAGTGAACAGCAGTAGAGGAGACACATGACCAGCACCCGGCCCGTGTGCCCTGGGCAATGTGGGATCTTCACATTTTCAAGAAAAACAATTGTTTCCATCTTTGGGTGAATGGCTTATGTGAACCAAACAAAAGATTCCTGAAGGCCTAATGCAACCCATGGGCCACAAGTCTGCAGATTCTAGTCTAAAGAATCACCCTCACGCCATCCAGGGCTCCAACCCCTCCGGGCACAGCCTGGCAGCCGGCCCTGGGCATTTCTACAACCTCTGACCCCGGAGCAGCACCCCAGGCTCCTGCGGAAGAAGATGCTCTGGGCAGTGGGGGGACAGGCCCAGGCTCGTGTGAGAAACACTGAGGTCCAGTGGGAGGAAGAGCCATGGGAACTAGGGCAGCTGGACACAGGAAGAATCTCGTGAATTTCAAAGTGGTCAAAACTCAGGAGGCTGTTCAGTGACCAGAACCGACCACACTGTGCAATGGACAGCTGTCTCCCAAAGGCCGGGGTCCCCCGTGACCTCTCCAGGTGCTTCCTGGCTCGGGACCAGGAACAGAGCAGGTCAGGAGGGATGGGAGAGGAAGCCGGGGTATCAGAGACCTAAGCTGAGCTCCCCGGGACCCTGTCACAGAGGGGCCGGCCGAGGGACTCTGTCACAGAAGGGCTGGCCCAGGGACCCTGTCACAGAGGGGCCGGCCGAGGGACTCTGTCACAGAGGGGTCAACCCAGGGACCCTGTCACAGAAGGGCCGGCCCAGGGACCCTGTCACAGAGGGGCCCTGCCACAGAGGGGCTGGCCGAGGGACCCTGCCACAGAGGGGCCGGCCGAGGGACCCTGACACAGAGGGGCCGGCCGAGGACAGAAACAGGTCCCCAAGGGGGGTGATGGCCCAGCCGCTTACTTGAAGTTGATGTTGGCGCAGACCAGCATGTCGTTGAGCAGGAAGACCCTGCGCTCCTTGGACTTGATCAGCTGCCCGCGGTCACCGTACACCGTCTCCGTCAGCGTCTCACAGAGGAGCAGCTGCCTCTGGCCCGAGGTCAACAGCTGGTGGAGGGGGACAGGGCAAGGTCAACACCAAGAAGCACGCAGGCTGTTACACAGACATCACCGTGCCAAAGACCCAGCGCTCTCCGGCCAAAAGGAGACTGGGGCTGGGAGAGGCAGAGAAGGCAGGGCCTCGCCCTCCACCTCCAGGTGACAGGAGGCCCTGGGGAGGGCCACAGGCTGGGTCCTCTGACCACCCACCCTGCCCAGCAGCCAGCATCCCTCTCAGGTGAGCCAGCCATTGCAGCCCGTCCCTCTGGCAACCCCGCCCAACCAGCACCACCAGGGACCTCAGCCCTGGCTCCCCGAGCACCAGCTGGGAAGCCATCCAGGGGAATCATTTCACCTGCCCACACCTCAGCAGTCAAGTGGGGCAACAAACTCCACCGCTCAGGTCACCAAGGTAACGCACGAGCAGATGTGGCTACGTAACTTCCCAAGCCCAGAGCAACATGGAAATGTGCCCCTCGTTCAAAAGTTACTACGAATTACAAGACGGCGATAGCAGCGCATTGAACCCAGCGTGGGCCCTTCTGCGCCCCGGCCCTGTGACAGTTCAGGGGGTGCACCCACGAAGCTGACATGGCAAAGACGGCAGCTGTCTCCGCTGCTGCTGTCGTGACCGAGCTCACCAGGAAGGGGTGTGGCCTCACGCAGCGAGACCCCTGGCCTGGAAGTCGGTCCGGTCCCTGCACCCTGACCTGTTGAGCCTCGGCCACTCTAGCCCCTTGGAAGGGCTCCCAACAGGGCGGGGTAGGTCTGCTGGTCAACCAGGCGACCCTCTGAGGTGGCCAAGAACCTTCAAGCCCCAGGCCTCTCCGCAGCCTGGACACCAAGAACCCCCTCCAGCACTGGGCCCCCCTGGGAAAACATGTTTTTATTAATAGGAATATTGGGGAGTGGGGAGGGGTTCAGCAAAATTCATTCCCAAAACCCATGACTCCAAGGGCAACAGTCATCTTCCCCATCCTCCCCGCCCTCCTGGGGGGAAGGGCAGAGCCCCCCAAACCTCTCCTGGAAAGAATGCCTGTCAATCTCCAAAAAAACACGTGTCTCTGTCAACAGAGAAGTCCAAACAAACAGTACGAAACCCCGCTGTGCTCAGCACTAAGTATTCCACTTCTCACTTCATTTGCGCAGCAGTCCCGAGGCCATGCCCATCCCCAAAGGAGGAAACGGAGATCCCAGAGGTGAAGAGACCTCCGGGACCCAGCTTGGATGGAGCCAGGCCACGTGCGCTGTCCCTCCAACTCCTGGCTGGGCCATCGGAGTCAGGGGAGAACCCGCTGCTCCGAACACAAGGAAAAGATTCGAGGTTCCTCGGGTTCCCCCCATAACTGCTGAGGCCGAGCTCCTCCCACTACTTCTACCAATAAGCTGACCTCTGCTCAGGAGACAGGCCTGGGACCCTGAGGACAGCGGGCCCCGTGGGAGACTGCCAAGTGTGCCGTGACCCAAAACGTGGAAGAGGAAAGTCCCCTGGGCTTCTGGCAACCACCCCCCTGCCCTTAGGCAGAGTTAAAAAGAAAAAGAAAATCCAGATATTGCACAAGCGTCCCCCGGAGGGTCCCGAGCAGGCACATTATGAAACAGCCGCACAGTTCCGTTTGGGGCCCACCCGGTTTCATTTCCGCTTTCCCCTGGGTGATGGAGCAGGGGAAAGCCACTGGCCCGGCTGAGATTGCCCAAGGGGGCCCTGGCAGGGGGAGGGCACGGCGGCGGCCGCCACCACACTCTTCACAACATCCACACCTAGCAAGACACCCCCTACATGACAGGTGGAGAAACAGACTCAGAGCCTACAGTTCCTTGCCCAACACCAACAGGTCTTCCTGACCTCCAGCCAATGACCACCACTCCTTACTGCCCGGGTCCCCCCGGGGGACAGAGCAGAATAGAAGAGATGGCTCTTCCCTGAGTAACTGCTGCGGCAAAGGGCTTCCTTTTCCCGATAATCTCTTCCCATGGCGGCTGCACAGGTGTGTGAGCAGAGGCAAGAAAAACCCTGCCGGTTACAGAAAAGGAGCTAAAGCAGAGGACAGAAGAAGATACTCCAAAGGGCAAAGCCCATTAAACACCAGCACAGGTGGCCACGGCTGGGCTGAAGTCTTTTTCTCAAGAGACATCCCAAGATAGAAGGCTTGGGTGTTACTAGCTACCATAAGGGTGTCCTGCCTAGAGGCAGGGAGCGGGCAGGGGATGACGCCCAGCCTTCATGCCCACCTTGATCAATCATGGATGGGGACGTCCCCCCAGGAGGAGGCTCTGTCTTCTACCCATCTTTCCCCCCATCTCTTTCCTCCTGGAATAGGTGAAGCAAACCCAGATGCCTGTGGGGCCAGCAGGGACCTCACTGGGAAGACGTGGGGAGGGGCTGAGGGGAGTGGGAAGCCACAGCTCAGGTGACTGTTACTATGTAGGAAGTTCCTTGCCCAACACCAACAGGTTTCCTAGCTCTTCCAATCCTTCAGGAAGACCGTCAAATCTGAATTTTACGGGATATCTCTCCATTTTCAAATGTTGGCAACTAATTCCTTTTTTTTTAACTACTGCGTGGGTCCAAAAACACATGTGCAGCCTGAATTTGGTGGGAGAGTCTCAAGATGTAGGACCCCTGACGCTCAGAATTGCAAGGGACCCTGCAGGTTGTCTTGTCCCAGCCCGGTCACTCAAGCTGTGGTAAAGATTTTTTTTTAAAATGTGGGTTAGAGAGTTCTAGGAATATATCCCAAGAAACCAGAAACACCAATCAGAAAGGATATATGCACCCATATGTTCATAGCAGCACAATTCACCATAGCTAAGATCTGGAAACAGCCTAAGTGCCCATCAGTAGATGAATGGATTAGAAAACTGTGGTACATCTACACGATGGAATACTATGCTGCTGTAAAAAAGAAGGAACTCTTACAATTTGCAACGGCATGGATGGAGCTGGAGAGCATTATGCTAAGTGAAACAAGCCAGTCAATGAAGGAAAAATACCACATGATCTCACTCATTCATGGATAATAAAGACCATTACAAACTTTTGAACAATAATAGATACAGAGGCAGAGCTGCCTCAAACTGATTGTCAAACTGCAGTGGGAAGGCCAGAGAGGGTTGGGGGGCAGAAGGGAGGGGAGTAAGAGATCAACCGAAGGACTTGTATGCATGCATATAAGCATAACCAATGGACATAAGACACTGGGGGGTAGGGGAAGCCGGGG